TCCCACGGTGGGGGGCAGCAGGAAGGCCCCCCTTGTGCCAGTGCTGCCGGTCACGCCTGGGGCCGGGGTGTGATTTCCCACTAGTGTTATTGAATACCGACGTGTTTTGGGGCTGACAGTTGTGCTGCAAGGGAGGGTTTGTCAGTGCTTCCCAGCGGAGCATGTTTTCGGGAGCATGCAGCCATGGGCAGGGCATTACAGTCCAGGATGGATTTGGGTTTTATTTCCCACCCCTCTTTCCTCACCTTGCCTGGAGGACAGCACTGCCCCCTCCTCTTTGGGGTCTGATGGCTTGGGGTTGGTGTCTGGGCAGCAAAAATGTCACCGCCTTGTGGGGCCTCAGCATCTCTGTTGGGGTACCATGGGGATGCTGTGTGGTGCAGTGGGGATGCTGTGGGGTGCTGTGGGGTACCATGGGGGTGCTGCAGGGTGCTGTGGGGATGCTGTGTGGTGCCATGGGGATGCTGTGGGGTACTGTGGGGTTGTACCCCACAGGCTGCTCCTCTGCGTGGCATGATGGGGCGAGCAGCAAAGCTTTGGGTTTCCCAGGGCCAGCAGGCAATATGGTGGAACATCCCAGGTCTGGGGGCATCATCCCAGATGATGGCTTCCAGTCCTCCATCCCCAAAGGTCCCCGCTGCCCGGGCTGGGCTATCCCAGCGGGTGACCTGAGGGCCTTTTCTGGCTGCAAGCCCCGGGTGATGAGCTTGAAATTACCCTGGGTGATTTAGAGCTGCCTCTGGGCTACTCTGACGTGCCTCTGGAGGGGACCAGTGACCTGCCCCTCCTCTGCTGGAGGTGCAAAAGGTGGTCCTGATGACCCTCCAGGCTACTCCAGGAATGACCTGTGGCTCGGGGTTAGTAAAGTCACCCCAAAACTGAGCCCTTCTTGCAGTTCATGCTCTTTCCTGGAGATAGGCACAGCTCCCTTACAGGGCAGCGTGCAAAAATATCCTGGAAGTGGAAAAACATCGCCAAACTCATTGCCTTTTTCAGGATGTAAAACCTTAGGGTTAAAAAAAAAGCCCCAATAAATCCACGTGAATCCGTTTCTGCATCCCATAGGCAGCCGCGGATCCGGGCTGTGGGTGCCGCTGGTGTCGGGCTGGGTGCCCAGCACCCCACGCACCCCAGGGCAGGGCTGTGTCCGGGACCTCCGAGGGGCGTTTGGCCGAGGGTGGATGACACAAGGGTGTCACTTTGCTGGCTGCAGGAGCTCTGGCTGTGCCAGGGGGTGCCTTCCAGGCTGCTCACACCCCCCGGCCCCCGGCTCCCATCTCCCGGCCTCTGGTGCTGGTTGCAGGGCTCAAATCTTACTTTCAAAATTAGGCAAGGAGCCCGGAGCTCCCCAGACTGGCCAGGCACCCACCACTGAGACAGTTTGGGGGGTCCTGGGGAGTGGTTTCAGAGGGACAAGTGGTGCATCTGCGTGTGGGAACCCAGGCAGGGTGAGCCCACGAGCTGGGGATGCCAGCAGAGACCCCCCCCTCCTGCCCACCCCGGCTGCACTGGGGGAAAACCAGTGCCTGAAAAAGAAGCTCTTCTGTTTTAAAAAGTCAACAGCCCGACACTGGCACCGTGCAGGCGCGTTACGGAACAGTTTGGGCTCTATCCAAACATGCTCATTGGCATCAGACAGCTGATGTGTACCATCTCGATGGTGGGGGGTCAGGACACCCATCCCTTGGGGAAAAGTTCTTGCTTTTAAGAGCAAATGTATATAAATTGACAGGCAATGACACCCCTACCCTTTCCTGACCTCTTCACTCCTGTGCTGTGACATTTGTGTTAAAAATAGACATACATTAAAAAAAAACAAAAAACTGCTTCAAGGTAGGTGAGCACCAGCCTGTGTGCAGCTGTCAATCCTCTCGAGTAGAAAATCAAAGTGTCACAACCGAATTTCCAGGTTTGGGAATTTGTTCTGTAGTGAGCGGGTCATTGGAGGGCAAGGCATACACTGTAAGCACCTCCGCTGATAGCTCCACAGCTCTTGTTTGTATGAGAAGCCATTGGCGCTGCGAAGAATGTATTATATAAAGTTTTCATCCAGCACCTCATTGTGTGGGAAGCTGCTGGCATCACCCCACCCAGAGACTATAAAGGGGTTTAAATTAATTAGCCACAGTGTCCTCATATAAGCGATGGCAGTTCCTGATGGGGATGATATTTCCAACACAAGAAAAATCCCCTTGCTCTAGCAGGCTCCAAGTCTGAATCACAAAGCTCATCTTTAATCCATCAAGCTGACATGCCAGGACCATTTTCAGAGTGCCGTTTGCAGGGCTGCGGCCAAAAATAACCAATTATTTTTCTGTGCAAACCATCTTGCAAACCATCACTCCTCCATGTCCGCTGCAATGGGGACCGCTGCCTCCCTGCACTGGTTCCCATGGCTCTGGGGGGGGCGGGTTCGGCACTGGTCCCGTTACCGCTGGTGTTCAGAAGTGGAGATCGTGATGGTGCCGGGGATGGGTGTCACGATGCCGGACGCTACTGGTGTCAGAGAGGGAAAGGTGCTGGTGGAGAGCAGCGGTTTGCATGGTTCCGCCGGGATTTGGAGAGTGGGATGGGGTTGGCTGGGGTGCTGGGATGCAGGAGGTGCTGAAGCGGGCGCTCCGGGAGGCGATGCCCTGGGGTTGTGGCCGCTGGCTCGTAGCCGTGCTCTGACCCAGCAGGTGTTTACAGCTGATCTCTGTACCCGCCAGGAATGTGGTTGGTGACAGTTCCTTGTCACTGCTGTGGCGGTTAGTCCCGGTTCTCCATGGGTATTAATGACCAGATCTAATTCTGCAATTACACCCAGAGGCTCTGTCCACACGGATATTTCAGGGCACCACCTGGCTCAGCCGACAGCGTGTTTGTGCCATTATCTCATAGCTGGAATAAACCTGGTTGGTGTGCTTGTGTTTTTGAGTGCCCTCTCGGATGTGGCAGGGTTGCTTGAACCTCTCTAGAAGCTGGTGGGTTGTCTTGAATCACCTTGAAGAGAGAAAGCAGAATGCAAAAGGCTTTCAGTCACTGGAACTGGGAAGCTGCTGCTGAGCACTGTCCTCTCCAAGAATCCTGGAGCATCTTGGTAACCCCAAGGCGGTGGTGGAGATGGGTGATGAGGAGCAAGGAGAACCCTTGCTTTGAGGTTCACCAGTTCCAGGGGTGTGCTGGCTGGCACTGGGAGGCTGTAGTCGCTCTGCTTGGCAAATGTGGGATGAAGTCACCCTTCGGGTGGATGCCAGCACCTGGTGGCATGTGGGACACCAAAGACTCTACCACAGGTTTGAAAGGTGGAGAAGTGGATGGTTGGGCTTTTTGATACCCAAGCATGGCCAGGGGCCCCATGAATGCCCCCCAGTCCAGAGTCCTGACCACTGTCCCCAGCTGTCACGCCCATGGCCGCCTTGCCCTTTCAGGCAGCCACTACAAAAAGGCTTATTTCAGAGGTGTTATTTATTTGTTTTGGCTTCTTCACCTTGTCTCTTTCATGGTTTTTTTGATATTTTAATTGATAGCTAATTGCTTGCTCAGGATCCCCAGAAAGGTGACAAGGAGGAGAGATTTATAAATGTTGCTTAGCTGAGCTGGACTGGATTCAGGGTGGGGAGTGGCGTGGAAGACTGTAGGAGGGGGAACAGGAAGGTCAGGAGGAGACTGCAGGCTCACAGAGCGTGAGAAGGGTTTAAAGCATCCCAGGGTGAAGATGTTGGGGGCATGGGGGTTGCAATGGCCAGGAGCAGGGGGAGGCAGGGTGCCTTCTGCAGAAGAAACGGGAGCCTTGCCTCAGGGTCTGAGGTCTCAACA